AATACATTATTAGTTGATTTATTGCTAAAACCATTGATTTCTGTTTAAGTAAAAGTTTTTGGGAAAAAAAACGCTACGAACTTATTCCTCAACCTAATACATAATTTTAATTCAATGCGCCACGAATAGAGATAAGATTTTTTGAGTATTTCAATGAAGGAAACAATAAGATATGACTAAAGCATTAGATCCACAATCATGATCGGCATCGACTTCAAACGATGTTTGCTCGAAGTGCTAAAATTCTCACTAGAAGGAAATAGGCTCAGGTAACCTTTGAGTGAAGACCATAAGTATAAAGCAAGGGCATCAACGTCATCCGTAAATGAGCATTTGAGAAAGACAACTGGGTCTAATGTAGAGAAAAATTAAAGCTCAATTGCGCTTGGTACGTGAGAAAAGAAGACAAAAGACTAATCAACACCTCTTCATAGAGTTCGCTGCTAGAGTGCACTGCTAGTATCATAAAGCGACAGATGTTCTCCCTTCGTGGTAGTATCTAATTAGGGATAGTAGCAAGCGCTACATGTTATGAATGGATGATAGTCGTCATGGCTCATCAACGACACGCTAGCAACTAACCGTTGTTGAGGCATGTTGTCAACAAAAGAAACAAAGGAAGTATGACGGATATTGAGGAGCATGACTTACGTCTTTCTTAAGCTGCCGATTTTGTGTTTTAACTTCATCCAGCTCCTTCTCAAGTGCTTCGGCATTCGCTTTGAATCGCTTCATCTGGCCTTCCACTCGGATGATCTGCAAATTACTGTTGTCTTAGTAAGATATCGAGAAACATAAAAAAAGCACTCACGCTGCCTTGATGATTGGTGTTCTCGCGCTCGGCCTCTTGAAGTTTGAACTTGAGTTCAGCCAATTGTTTTGCCGCTTCTTCTAAAAACAAAAGTTGTGCTACAAAACAGAGATCATTTTCCCAAAATTGCTAATACACGGAACAAAATCATTTGAAGGAAAGTTTGAAAAAAAACCTAAAATTCCACAAGCGACAACTTGCTAAAAGCGCCAAGCAGAAAATAATACGACTTAACCAAGTAAATTCCTCTCTCATTTTGAAAA